TGAGATTTACAAGAGACACATGCGTTCAGGTATGAAGTTGTAACCACCACCATATACCTAGATGAAAAAGAGCCATTACAAATTGTGTGTGGAAAACACCCCATCTTTCCCATCAGCAAACAGCTGCTTAAAGAAACCGAATTGACACTGGATACGTGATCCAGTCAAAGGGAAAGGCATACTTTTCTGCATGCTCCAAAGGCTGTAACAGTGGGCATCTCAAGGAAATCTTCTTGGCACTTCAGCCTGGGATAACAAACATTTCTAGATAATATTCCTTATGGAACCTGCCAACGTTCAGTGAATGCCATGTTAGTGGCATGCATGTAGGATCCTTATCTTAAGGTGGGGAAATGGGCACAGTACACCTCTATTGGCATAGAAATTATCTACAGCAAGATCACTCGCTTAATAGAAACCCAGAGAATTTTGCTTGCATTTCAAACCACCCTTCCATAGAGGAAATAGAATAATATAGCTTCCACGTAGTAACGATGAAGGTCTTAGAGGTTATCCAAAGGATATAGTGTATGCTATGCCTCCTTCTGCTGATACAGTTAGAGCTTATAAGGAGCCCTTGTAATACATATCCTATGTGAGTACTGCCCAAAGTTTTGGATGTATCTCAATGGCACCAGAAAAACCTTTTGACTGGGCCAGTATTATATTAACACATATTAACAGAGTAGGAAGAAAATTAGATATTACAAGGATCATAACTCACGATGCTCTTGAAGAAAAATTAGTCATAACTGAAGATGAGTATAAAGTTCATAATAGGTGTGTTACACCCTCAGAATGTATGAAAATGTCTAACTACAACCATTATATATCATCAGCACTGCACCACTCCACCTTCTCAACTCTGATGAGCCCTGTCATTCATGTTGATATAAAAATGTACATGAATGCACACGTGGGCTGTGGTACAGACATACTTGTCACACGGATGATGATCTCAACTAAATGAAACCCCTTTCCATTTACCAAGCACACCAAACACACTTCCCCTGTATTTCTCCACCTATCTACAGCTAATGAGATGAATGAATCTGACTGAACCAATATACATTACAATAGGAACAGTGCTGCAAAAAAACTCTAAAGTACTTCCAGTTGTTTGATAGGAATCAACAGGCTCCAGTTTATGATGCCCCATCTAACATATTGCCTCAATTCCAAACTTCTGCCTATATCATATTTCACTGCCTTAAGTTCCCCTTCCATTTCTGGGTATCTTTAGATAGATGACAGGCAGACACAGGTGACAGGCAAATATACATTACAATGGTGACACGAGCAGTTTCACACTGAACCAAGCAGACGGCCCGTTTTAAGCTGTATTTGAGCTCTTTGACTATAAACCCAAAGCAACAACAACAGCAAAATCCTCCCTCATTTTCTGATGAGCTTCTCTCGTGTATGGTGCTGAGATTTCACAAGCTGGACAACTCAGGCAGGACCTTTGTCATTACAGATACGAGACCATGAAAAATTACACTGAAGTTCTTTTTCTTCACCTTAATTTCAAAAATCATGCAGAAAGATAATGCTTTTAAACCTACTATCCTGTAATGACAGAGAGGGCAGAGACTTCCCTTTACAAAGGTTACAAACATTTGGGCTGTGGAGCTCATCTCTGTGCTTTAAAATTTCGTTTCACAAAAAAAGCTTATAAAATACACATCCCAATAAATTTCAATAGGCACCTTAGAGTAAGCTCATCAATGCTCTTCAGATGGCTAAACTGCCATTGTGGTCTGAGTGGACTGTTAAGAGACACTTCACCGAGAGTCCACAGAAGCTACAGGGTTGCAGTCCCACAGACACTCAGGTCCTGATGTATTTTTACCTCTCTGTAAAGCAGCACGAGTGGCCAGACAAGCCACAGCCTTACTTCCAGCTGCAACCTCTTCAATAAGTCCTTTCTGCAATACCAGCCCCCTGAAAAGCAGGTACTTGATAGGCGCAGGTATATAGAAGTGGATATACATCGCCCTAGGATGGCAAATCGATGAAAGGAATGAAATGCTCTAATGCCCTGCTCGACAGAGCCTACTGCACCTCGAAGGCAGCATTACCAAATCTTCCCAACCACCCATTCATCTCAAAGCTATTCACTCTTCCGACCCTTGTACCTGCAGGCAGCAAGATGTGTGCTGAACAGAATAAACGCACCTCATTGCCTGGAGGCAGGGACCAACGCAGGGTCTGCAAGTGTCAGCAGGGATGTACACGAACTCTCGCTCAGCCAGAGGAAAAAAGGCCACAAGCTGCTTATTCAACCCACTCGGTGACTCCACAGAGCCATATGCTCTTTCCAAACAGACACACACACACATAAGACCCAGCCTGTGCAGGCTTCATGAATTCTTGAGCATGCAGGAATATTCCTGCCTCTCCTCAGCGTACAGCTGAAGTACTTTGGAAACCATATGCCATAAAGAGGAAATCCCTTGTCAAAATGCAGACCTTCAGGACATTTGTCTATGGAGGCTCTCCATAAATTCACATCGAACTACCAAGGCTCAGGCTGGCAGCCCAGCATGACCACCCTGAACAGCGTTCCAGCAGCTCTCCACATCCTCCGGTATTCTGGGTACTGCCCAAGAAGTAATTAATAGAGTCAACACGTTCCTGGGATTTGGTGGTGATTTTGAACCCACAAAATCGCCCCTGTGAGTAGTGAAACGCACAACACATGAAATCCCACCGGCCACTTCCAGATGTGGGGCTTAATGTTTGCTGCAGATACTAAAACCTCATCAGCTCTTATTCAAGCAGGATAATCATAGAATAGTTAGGGTTGGAAAGGACCTTAAGGTCATCCAGTTCCAACCCCCCTGCCATAACAATCTATTTCAAGTCAGAGCCATGTTTAAAGAACCATGCCATCTCCTCTGGTTATGAGGAGAAAGAGCTGCTTCTACAAAGCTTTATTTTACAGCAGTATCAAAATAGCACTCTGGAAGCACCACGTTGCAAGGAGAGCTTCGCGTGATCCAGTTACCTACCACCAAATCACTGCAGATGGGAAAGAACCTGCAGTTTGTGCAGGGCTTACAAAACAGCTTCAGAACACAGTCAACAGAGGGGCAAAGCCCTGTGCTTGTTTCTGGAAGATCTACCCAGGAATGGTGTCAGAATCGATTATCTGGCTCTGTGCCTCATCTCCACAGCTGAAAGGGTCATTTGATCCATTATACCCCTGCAGTGTCCTGCCTGCTGAGCTTGCCAGGTCATGCCTGGTAAAGAGCCTTGCTTGCTCATCCCCACCATGCAAGAAGCCCCAGCTTCACTAGAACACAGAGACAGTTCTGACTGCTGAAAACAACTTCAGGGTCCTCTCCGGAAGCACCGCACAAGCATTTCCAGCAGCGCTTCCAACACTACCCATCCCTGCGATGCACAGCCACCCAACCCAGAGAGGCGTTATCAGATATCAGTGTGATATTATCACATTATCAAGCCAACCAGGAGAAGGCAATGCTGCGAGGAATGAGCTGTAGCAGCTGGTGCACTACAGAGGTGACACAGATGTGAAGGGAAAAGGGAGGGCTGTGGAGAGGAACGCCTAAAAAGCATTCAAATATGATCAATTGTGTTCTGCTTATGAGGAAATGTTTCTTTTTCCCCCCTAATTTACGGCTCAAAAATGAACATCAGTTTGCTGCACACCCAGCTTTTTCTTATCCATACCCAAACATAGTCCTTGACAAGGGGCAGGTATCCCCAGAGCCTGAGGCTAAGCCTTCCCAGCCTGAGTGTTAAGTTTTATCGAGCTACTGTAATTCTCTTGATATGTGAAAATCACACTGTTGGTGCATGCTTTATTCCAACCTTTAAACACATTAAGGCTCAAGTGTTGTTTCTCAGGGAAAGCCCATGAAAAGGATCTAAAATAAATTGTCCGTGATCTACAATTTACTTAACACACATGGAACACGTTCAGGACTCGGTGAAAGAGCAAGTACCAATGTGTTTGGCTCAGGGCTCGATCCTGCAATATTAGTTATTGCTTCCAGCCTTTTACAGGAGAGGCTAATACCATTTAGAAGAATACTCTCTGCAACAGCATCTAAGCAACTCACCTAACTATTGGATATGTAAACGAAACAAATGGTTTTATCTCTCCTACTAACTGAATACAGGAAGTACACAACTTTCAAATGGGGCTTTCCCGTTCCAATGTCTTGGTATCACCAAAACTCCATTACCCAGTTGTAATTATTTCCCCTTCATTCATAGTTTATAGATAAAGGAGGAAGGCTTCGGTTTCCTTGATGGTTCATACACACGTGGCACTGGGCAGGAGTGATGCTGGTTAGACGAGGCCACACAACTGCATCTCGGCTGAATTAGCCAGGGAACTTGGTATGGAGCTTTTGCTATCTTGCTACAGGTTCATGGAGGACAGCCTAAAGCATGCCAGCACATGCTGAGCCTGCCAGGAATTCCACCATGCCTTTGAGCCATCAGAAGGAATTTGTACCCACAACAACTCTGTGGTCAAACAATGAGGTTTGGAGAGAAAATAAAGTGGAACCAGGAGGGGAGAAGAGGAGAAAAAGGGAGTGGATGGTGGCAGGTGGTGGAGGGGACCCAAATCCTAAATAAGCAGGTTGGGCAGACAACTACTCTTGAAGCAGGGAGAGTCAGAACAAGGGAAGAGGCAACCTTCCAAATGTATCTGGGCTATTTAAGAACATAGCCATATGGTATTAGGCGATGTGTACAGCAACAAGCTCATTTCTGTAGCCTACCAGTGACACTGAGGTGGCAGGGAACAAACTGGATTGATTTCCCCTTTTGCACCTTTACATCCTTAAATAACCTCACAGTGTGAGCCCCACTGTCCCCTCCCACCCTAGGAAGCGATAAACAGCACTCCTCTTGCTACAAAAATCAATAATAACAGCAAAGCAAATGCCACACAGCCATGGTACAAACCAGCTCTTGTGAAAGGGAACAAGTGAAAACACAACAGCGCTGCTACTTACATTCTGGTATTGCTGGTCTTGTTGATAATGACAGACTTCCCAGTCTGATCCACATTGTGGTCCATCCCAAAGTAAGCTGCCACTCTGTGCACCAACATCCTCTGGTAGGACGACATCTGAGGGAACTTTTTATAGTGATTACTGGAAAGAGAAAACAAACCACAGTGATAACAACATTCCCCCTGAGCTACAATTAAATGAGAAGAGCAACACATTCAATAACTCTGTGGGCAGAAATCTAACCAAAAACTTGCCCTTTGTGCATCTACATCTGAATATTTGCTTCAAGAGGGCGGAAAAAAAAAAAAGGAATTACTTTTTGAATGTCTAACAAGGACGTTTCCACGTGCTGCGCCGAGACAAAGCTCACGCTTCATGGTATCACCAGCGTTCTGTCTATTGGGAAGAGCTTGCCTCCTGACCCCATGCACCCACTGCACAAACAACCCTGCAGATGTGAGAGACACTGGCTGCAGCTCTCTGCCTTTCCCCCACAGGACAGATGCAGGGTGATGCTGAGAACATCTAGCTTGGCAAATGCTCCTGCTTCCTCTCTTATTGATAAAAATGCTTATTTCCCATCAGCATAACTTCTCCTCTGCTATTATCCTGACACTATTCTCTAAAACCACAGACACATTTCATTATACAGAGCACGTGGCAGCAAGAAACCCTCTACCCAAGTTCAGCTCTATTTTACAATGATTTAGAATACCATTCACACAAGGAACCCATGGGGCAGCGTATCTGATCCTCCTCTGCACTGAAAGCTTCAATTATATTTTTGGACCTAATAGAGCAGGGCCAATGCAATTACAACATCATGAAAAGCAAAAGGTATCTCTTGTATTTTAAGCAGTACCACCACGTGTCAGGAAATAAAAGCCTGATGGGGTCCAAGTGTGGAAAGTCGACTTACTTGTTGTCACTGATAAAATCAATAATTTCCTGCTCCATTTTCAAGAGAATCATTCTGTCCCTGTCAAAAAGAAGAGTAAGGATTTGTAGCATCAATGACCCATAGACATTTTGGTTGAGCAAATGAATATATCAATGTTCTTAAGGCAACTTTGCAAAGGCTGAAGCCATCTTGATTCAAAATGAAAGATGCTTTGCCCTGGCACAAGTAGAGAAGGTTGCTGCCCGCTTTTGCTGACATACGTGACTGATTTTGATCTTTCTGAAGCTCAACTATGGGGCTGAGAGTGCTTCCAGCCACACCAGGCTGTGAGCAGCGACTACATAGTAAGACTGACTGCTATGGATTGCTTTGCTTCACCTTTTTGTTTGCTGGAGAAGGAGGTTTCCAGCTCACCCAGCTCTTGGTGAATGAGAAGAGCTGTTACCCACAGCAACTTCCAACATTTTGTCTGAGACACATCTTCCAGGAGGCACTGATCTGCAGGTGAGAAGACTGGGCATACCTAACCTAGATAGAGAGCACAATACAGAAAACCTTCGGATTTTGGCTTCCCACGAGGCAGTGATGCAGCATTCCTCAGTCAAAATGTTCTGGTTTCAACTGGAAGGGCTCAGATGTGCCTTTTTCTCTTTCTTTTCTGCCAAAAACATCCCAAAATTCCCACACACCCATTTTTTCCTAAGCTTACAGAGTCCATCACTCCTTACTTCCTCTGAATGGTCTCATTTTGTGCAGATGAACCAATTTGAGGACCTTTGGTCATCAGGTTATGCAAGCTGTTACATACCCAGTTGTCCCTAGCTCTCCTATCACTGCAGAATCATGTGGTACCTATTTAACAGGTCCAACTGAAATGAACATTGAAAATAAACATATAAAAATGGTAGATATTCTTCCTTAAGACATTTATAGGCAAATTTATCACTGAGATAAGCTTGTTGATCCAAATGGAAACCATGGGAATAGCAAGAACAGGAACTGGCACTGCGCACAGACACAGAACTGTGTACAGCACTGCCAAAAGAAAGCTACTTCATATTCATACACAAATCTCCCACTGCAATGGCAATAATACATTACTGCTAACATCACACAGAGCTATGGGCAAGAGGTAAGGACAAAGACCAGATGTTGCTGAAAGTGAAGTGAAGCAATGGGTGACTAGATAGGGAAGGAGGAGTTGATGACTTTTTATAGCTTTTTGCTCAGTTATCAGCCTACTTCCTTTACATTTTCTTTCATAACCATCTCCAGAACTAATAAAACACCGCTCACAGTTACAGGAGCTCCAAGACTGCCAGCTATAATTTCAGGAATGCCAGCTCTAATGCAGAAAATACCTACCTGGGGTTATTCTTTAGTGTGTTAATGAGAAACTCGTGCAAATCTATGCCTGTTGAGTCCGTATACTCTTGACTGCAATCTGAAAGATAAAAAACAAACACCCCCCTCTCATTTATTTCATTTCAGCAATTATGATTAAGCCACGCTATAAACCAAAATCCATTTTCCAGCAACAATCTGAGAGCGCATGCTTGGAAAGAAAACGTTCATGTGGAGTTCAGCCAAGGAAGGTCCTTGCTTGGAAGCCTGGGGTGGACTCTCACAGTTCCTCTGTGCTGCTCTACTGTGAGCATGGCACCAAAAGCAGCCACCGACAGAAACCTCTGGTCATTGGAAAAGCATGGGGAAACCTTCAATGCCTCTGCCAAGTTCTTCCTTTAAACTACTAAGGAAAATTTGATAAAATAAGAATTAAAACCCACCCTTTATTCATCAATGTCTCTTTGAATCACTTGATAAGTGCTGTACATGTGGCAAATGAGGCATCGCGCCAGCACGGATTTTATTTGCATTGACAGGCTGAACTCCAGTCACGCCTGAGAGTGGGTGGGTAGGAGGGATGTGTGACAGTAGGCAGAATCAGTTTCTCAGCCTTGCTGTATCACTTGACTCAAAGGCACACAACACATCCTCACGCTGGTGTGAGTTGCGAGAGCTCCATTGAAGCCAAGCGACAACTCACACCAGCTGCGGATCCACACCCAGGGTAGCAATGATTATTTCTGGAGAGGTTCCATTGCACCTTCACACCATGGGCTCAGAAAGAGATTATGGGGTTGTTTCAAACACCAAATTTAGACACAACATCTTTTCTGAACAAGTAGGTGATAACAGTAGACTGCAATGCAGGTTACATGTCATTAATGGGTTCCCTTATAGCATCTAAGAGAAATTCTCCATCTCCTCCACAGTGAAGATTACTCTCTATTTGAATTGCACAAGTGACATGCCAATATGTTATCAACGGGGAAAAAAGCGCATCAGTTTTGCACTTACCTGATAGAATCAAACATACATTACCGTATACAATCACGTTTACATATATATATGTTTATACCAACACAGTTAATGTAAAATCATTCCTCTGAGTACTTAAGTTAATAGCCTCTAACACCAAACCTCAATCTGAAAGGTTTCCTCACTCTCAGAAGCCAATGTTTGTATGTAAAACACTCATGCATGCACATTCCAGGTTCTGAATTTTCTCACTGTATGAAAGCACTTCTGTGTATGTACACGTAATAAAGAAATACATGCTTATAGAAACATACCAGCAGTAATTACAACAATATAAATACTGTTAACTTCACCTTTTGATAACATTCTGATCTTGATTTTTTCACTGTTTTTATCTTTGTCTTTATTTCTTTCCTTCTCTTTTTCTTTCTCGGACTCATCTTTACTAGATTTATCTTCCTCTTGCAAGCTAGGAAAACTTGAAAGGTGTAGCTGGATTGATTCCTGTTGGGAAAAAGAGAAAGATAAGTTCAGGGGCAGAGTCAGTAAGCTTCCCATGGCTCCCAACCTGCAGAGAGTTGTGTTTAACTGGGTGTAATTGTAACTAGAAAAGCTGAAGCCAGATACATTTCTTTCCTATTTGACAAATGATTTCTTTTTTCCAGGAGAATAAAGACGTTTTCAATGCCAGATTCTAGTGGTAAGTGTATCTCTTCTCTCATATTTGAATACTATCAACTTTTAGTCCACCTCTGTTAAAGGCACCATATTGTTGTACACTTCAGTACTTCTCACTAGAATTAAGACTTATAACAGTGAAATTCATTTTATATGGGCTTTAAGGAAGTCTAATTTAATTAATACTACACGTTAGGTGATGATCGATGGACAGATGTCTGAAAAATAGAACTTTCTCGCCCCTCACTAGAAGTCCTGCATGTTCATATGAGCTGCTTAGACACTGCAGTATGAGTTAGACTGAGCTATTGAGCTCAGATAGCAGAGGAATGCCTAAAAATCATAACCCAGTTGTATACAAGAGGGCTTGCTACCTGATCAGGTACTTTAAATACAAAGGCATGTGCAGGCGTGCCTTTACAAAAGGGACGAAACGTGCCCTGTGATTTTCAGACAAGTTGTGCTAAGTGAACTTCTCCAAGACATCACAAGTGTGATCCTCAAAAATGCAGTATTTCAGAGACTCTGAGTCCCTTTGAAAGCATACTCTGGCTTTCCAAAGCTAATTAAAGTGGAGAATTCAAGCTGGTTTGCATTTTCTGATTTGCTTTAAAGACGTTGTTCCCCACTTAAACCATTACTTTAACAAAATACAACTTGTTTTCTTCTGCAGTTACCATGGCATTATTTAGATATTCCAAGAAAAACCAGTCTGGTTGGTCAAACCTGAAGGAAGCATACTGTGTGGTCATGTGCTTTTGGAGAAAAAGATGGACAAAATAACACTATATGCTTAAGTAGTGTCAAAACGCTCACTTGAATTAAGCTGTGCCAAAACTCCCTGATAATTCAGTATTCCTTAATAGAGTCCTGCATGCCTGATAATTATTCTTTTTGGGCATCACTTTAATGAAAACCAAATTCAGCAACACTGGAGAAAATCCAGTTTCTTGAATGCTAGTAAATCCCTTTCTCCCATAAGCTTTCAATGAATACTAGCATACCAAAATACCAAGACAACACTCTAAAGCGGATGGGTTTGTTTTTAAGCAACCAGACCATTATGAATTCAAAAGATGCTTGCAATCAGTCATTATTACAAATATTAGGTTTCTGATTTTTTTTCTACAACTACAAATCAGCCACCACAACACACGGAAGACAAGCTCCTAACAGAACGAGAGCAGCATAAACATGCCACAGGAAGACAGAAATTCATCAGTCCTCATCAAGTGACTTTGTGTGAGGTTTGAATGTGGCACAAAAGACTTGAGATGAAAAGCACTGTAAAAGAGAAACAAAGCCCTAGAGCCAAAATTTATCCTGACCTACTGCCCTTCATTCCTACTCCTGTTAGTTTTAGCTGACAGCATCAGAAAAAATGGAGCCTACAGAGGGAAAGGGTGGGAGCTCTTGGTCATTGGAGGCAAGGATCATCGGATACATAAAACAGTGCTTGCTAACCTGCTTGGTTGCACTTGGAGGACTAAGGTTATGCCTGCTTTCTTTCACTTCAAATGGCAGTTCTATTTCTCATTCAAACAACAAACTTCGGATCAATCCCTGGCAAAAGACCCCAAAGAATTACTCTGATTCCTGCACTGCCTGGAGCAGAGCTTTTCAAAACAGGAGAAAAATGTAACTGGCCATGCTGTTCCCAGGATATTAATCCTAACCTTGACAGTGTCCATTAAGATGCACTTAGGAAAGGAAAAACAAGACTTGACATATAAGCACACAGAGGAACATACAGTAGCTACTGTCTTACATATAACGTTACTTGTATATAGGCACTAGATGAAACACACAAAAAGGCTGTCGCGTCGTGAAAGCAAAGCTACTATATATTTTCTTAGGTTTTTATTGATATTTTTTTCTCAATAGTAAAATACAATGTTAATAAATACATTGATACAAGGTAAATATAGTGAACAACAAAATAAATGTTCAAATTGCAATAATACACTTCTTGGTCAATAGTTTAACATGAAAGGCAACATTCCTTTGAAGTAAGGACATAGTGAACCATCAGGTAAGCGTTCAAGATCAAGTAATACAGGTAAACAAGTCTTTTCCCTATACAGGAAAATGAAGGCAAGTGTTCAAATATAAATACAAACATCAGGTCTGCAGTACAATCCATACTCAGTCGTTCTGGCAATGTACCGTACATTCTCTGGTAATCAGGTCCCTGTGCTTTGTAAACCATTAAGATAAAATAATAACGAAAAAATAAAGAAAATCCAAACCGAATCATGAACTACCATGCGCTGCTTAATACAATCTCTTGATGCTATTCTCCTTTTCATTCCCCACCAAACAATAGAAAATACAAATGAAAGCAGAACAAAAGCCACACATCTTGAGGAACGCGAGTTGAGCAGAAAGCGGATACCTACAACAGAACAACTGATAAAATAACCTGCCCGTCTGCTGCATAAGCATCATTGTAGAGCAGTAGAACATCTACGTGTCCCCCTGCTAAACAACCTGGTTTTTTGGTCTTTAAAAAAGCAATAAATTAAAAAAATAGAAAAATCTCTCCATACTTCTGAGGCAAGAGGAGAGCTGGATTTGTTCCATTTCAAGTCAATAGAAGAACAGTGAGAAAGTACACTTAGATGTGATATTTTGTTTTTGTGCTAAGCTCACAAGAAGTCACTTGCTCAAGCTCTCTCGATGGTTGATCTCATTTGCACACAAACAGCTCATAAATTATAGGCAGTGCTCTTAATAGTTAGCTTTGGGTTCTTTTAATCCTTACCCGTACCAGGCAAGCAAAGAGTATTTGAGGTTTTTCCTTTTGCTTTTTGGGCTGTTTTTTGCAGTTGGCCTACAAAGACTGCTACCAGTCTGAGAGGAGGGGGGCAGGGGACAGAACTCTGCCAGCCGCTGGGAATACAACACTACCAGCACAGATAAAAACTCATATACACGCCTTTTGATACCGGGAAATCTACACCAAGAGTTGAGAAAACAAGTGCCACTCAGGAGGAGGCATCCTCAGCTCTACCAAGGTATTTCAGAGAGCAAAGCACCTGTGCATTATGTGTGAAGGGGGACACTGATATGAACTGGAGTCTCAGAGGAACCAGAAACCAGAGCATATTCATAACTGTATCTGGTGCAGCCTCGAAAGAGATAACCTTAGAGAAAAGATCATATTAATATTCTGATTGTCACTACTTTTTTAATTTTAGAATCTGAATTCTTTTCCATTTGGTGGAATTTTCAGGGGGTCTGGAAAAAAAAGCAAACAACACCCTGTGATATGGCATAAAACTGAGATTTCAAAATAAAATTCACGCTAAACCAGATAACTTCATAAAAACACATTCACTGTCAGATGTCATTTCCCCCCACCCCAAGAAAGACATTGTTAAATGCCCAATTAAGTCACATAATCATGCAACTGAACATAGACATCAACCATGCAGCTAAGGGCAATGACTGCAAGCGTACCTGATTGTCATGAAGATTCTCCGCCGCCGGGCGCGGGGATGACTCTTCACACACAGCAAGGCTCCGGACAAGTTTTCCTTTAGCTCCTGACTGAATGAGAGAGAGAGAGAAACCAAACCAGAGAACACTGCTACTGACCCCAAGTCACATCAGCTGCACCCCTCAGCTGTCCCTAAATACCCCAGATAACAACTACCCACTGAGCCAACAAAATTGGATCTGCCTTCGATGCGCACAGAAGAGGATTCCAAGCAGCAAGTCATATGCACACAGGTGAAGTGGTGGGTTCCAGTTTTGCTTTTAATAAATCTCTGCTACCGTTCACCCACTTCCACCAAAAACTGTAACGGCAAAGAACAGATAATCCAATACTGAAGGCAATTTAAGCTTCACTACTCTAGTACTTCAGTATTAGAACTCAAAGGTTCCTTTTGTAATCTGGAGTTTGGTTAGTTTGTATGCTTGCTTGCTTGGCCTACCCCCCATCTTCTTCTAGAAGGGTTATATCCAAGGAACTTAGACAATAAAATGGGCAAGCTTTATGGATCTACACTTAGAAAATTAAAAGAAGGTTTTTAGGGGTTTTTTGCTCCTAACAGTTCTTTCCTGCCCCACTTAGGGAGCTCCTCAGTCTCTGCTTCTTTATGTCAAGATTAGTCCATTAAAATAAAATTCAAACAAAACCCTTAATTACTAAAGCCCAAGGAACAAGCTTTTCCCTTCCCCAGTGGGTACAGAAGCACACATCCCATGCTGTCTAACACAAGTGCACGGCGAGCCAGGCAGCATGAAAGTACGATGGATAAATAAAGGGGAGCCTGACACATTTTACCTAGCAGAAGTCCTTTGTGCAATGAGATTATGGGGTTAAGGGAAGGAAAAGGACCACAAAAAAGAACCACGAACCACCACACACGTGATGAAAGGCCATCATTTCAATGGCAGGCAGACGTTAGATCGACATTCTTTAGCCTACCAAGGCATGTAATGCCAAACAGAGACCGACCCTTACCTTGGATCTCTTTTTCTGCTGGTTCTGATTTCCACCTCGTTTCTGGGGATAGCAAAAAAAGAAAGCAGTTACCAATTCAGTGGAAAATATGCCCGACAAGAGCATTACCAATAAAGAAAGACACTAAATCACTCCAAACCAATACTTTACAATCAGTTGATGCTGCAAAGAGAACTCTCCCAAACCCAGTTTGGAAAGCAGGGAAAACCAAGAATCATCTCTGCTCACTTTATTCATTTTAAGAACAGGTATAAGCAAAAGCCACACTGCAGAGTGTTCTGTAATTTTGCATATAATAAACATGTAAGAAAAGGCATACTTAAGTAAACACTCCCCCCTCCAAATTCCTCTTAAACTGCAGTCTCTCCCTTTATTCTTATATTTGTTTGAGCAAAAAGGAATAAAACCCCCTCATCCGATAAAGTCTTCTTCTCAAATTACCTTCTTAGGCTTTGCATACCAACTTTTTGTTGGCAGTAACACCTACAAACCAAACCACACATTAAGTAATTATTCAGTATTATTACCTGTAAAGTCACTAGATCAAGGCAGCTTTCTGAATCCCCAAAGAGGGAAAACAGCCAAATATTTCACCAAGCTCTAACACAGACATCTAGCAATTAACTTCTCAAACCTTAACGACATGGACAGCAGCCTAAAGAGCTTGAAAGGTGTAACAAATAACAGTATTTATTTCACAGGGAGATAAAAGAACCAGAAAGAAAAATAAATAATTAAAACCATAAAACAAAAGGGTCTCAAAATTACAACAGAGAAACCAGGAGAATTGTAGGCAACGAAGGATCACAGAAACGGAAAGGCAACGGTAACACACTGATACGTAATGTGCCCATTCACTAGTCCCGTCTCACCTGCAGCTCTGTCTTGGCATCACTCAGCTTCTCCTCCTTCTCGTCCACTTCCGAGCTTTCAGATTTAGTGAGGATACAGTTGTCCGGGTTCGCCTCCAAGATGGCAGTCTCCTGCTCCTTCGCAGCTTCCTCTGCCGTCTCCTGGTTCAATTTACCTTGCTCAGACATTCTTCCAGACAGAAATGAAAACAACAAGATTTGGTGACCTGAAAGGTCGAGATACCACGACACAAACACACACACAGAAAGAACACCGGAGGTGAATTTTCCCTTGAATTCCCAAGCAATTTCATTTCCTCTGATGAACAAATCAAGACATGCAGCTCAGGAGCTGAGAGACAGATACATGTTCCAGTTGAAGAGCTGTACTGAAACGACAATAGTGCCTAACGTGGGTTTTGTACATGGTAGAAGCCCATGGTGCTCACTACCAGTTAAAAAAAACCATACAATTTGAAGAGGTAATAATTCCGTGTAAATATGAAATCTAAATTTGGCAATAAAGCTCTTGGAGTCAACGCTTTCAGGCATCAAATTGACAGCTCCATTATTAAAATCCTAAGCCTCTTCCCAAGCCCCACGTTACTCTCCAGTACTATGAAAATCCTGCAGGAAGCCCTTGGCAGGTATTTCTAATGAAGATATCTTCACGGAACTGCATTTACTCTCAGCTCACAATGGGTTGTTGTACAGAAGCTTTAAAGGCTTTTCAAAGTTAAAGCCTATTATTATTTTCTCTCCCTTTCTCTCCCCCAGCTCCCTCTTGAAGCCTCCCCCACTGATCAATTGTCAAGCAAGGCTCATGAATTATTTAACTTTTCTTTCCTCATCCATTTGGCTTAAGCAGTATCTTCAGGAAAAACAACTGCAGTTGAGAGAGGGAGTTATTTCAGAAAGGGTCTTTTGCAATACCTTGCTGCTTCTCAGCAATGAAACAGCGGCTAGGAAACAAAGCCACACTTGGCCATGTTTCTTTTTGCAGCCTGTAATTAACATTCAACAGGTCTGGTAACACTTACCTTCATTTTTAAGTGATGTTTTAAGTAAAAAAAAGAATATGACACACCAAGTTTTACAAACTCACATCTTCCAATTTTTGCTCTGGCTTTGAATTTGTACGCAAATACAACAATAAAACCTTCCCTACATCTTCCTTCCATTTGAGAAGGGTTGTGAGTGTCACAAGAAATGGAGCTGCATGGCTTGTAAATGAGCCAACCGAACTCTGAAGCTCACAAATTAGCTCGCAGCAAGACAAGTGGAGCTTCAAGTGGTTCTCCTCCTCCCACCGCCCTCCCCAGGAAGTCCCATGGCATTGGCTACTCTGCAGTTACTACCGAGACTTGGACGCCTTTGCTACGAATTCATGAATGGCGAGACCTGAACCTTGTCTGTTAAATAAATAACCCTTCCTTTGTTCATGATTACCACCAAGAAACACACACGCATGCACAAGCTCTTCACGTTACCCCATGCCTCACCTGCATGCTTACACAGGGTTCACAAAACCATTTGCACTTAACAGTTTATCAGCCACACCAAAGAAGCCCTTTACCTGAAAGTCTGCTATAATTCCCACTGTCTTCCTATTGTCTTCTGTTGCTCTTCGCTGGTTAAGTCCACACAAGTGATCAATGACAACGTGAGTCCCATGTCCCCATTAACAGTTCAGAGTGCCAATCTCCATGCTGGTCCTTCAGAGACTTTGACGGATCATAGTCAACCTGGAAAAAGACGGAGAGTGAGTAACAATGGCAACAACCATGGCACAAGGTAAGGACGCAATAGAGAGAACCAGATTTCTAACACGAATGACCAGCTTCGAGCAAATCACTTTCACAGCTTGATCCAGCTCCACCTGTCTCAAAACTGCCTGCTTCTTCTCTAATGAAGGCTAGAGCCGGCTGTTCAAGTCATAACAGCTCCTACGCAAGGAGCTAAAATTAACAATTGCATTATGCACCGAAGATTACTCACTTCAATTTTAACCTTTTTTAGTGAATTCCAACACTTTTCATTAAAAAAAGCATTTATACATATTTATATATAAGCTCATCTGTTTGCTTCAACAGAAATCAATGAGGGTCTGAGGAAAAAAGGACTTGCTTGCTTTTTAACCACGGCTTCTGCTCCAATTAGAATTTCAATAGCCAAACACTACTGGAAAAGTGTTTGGAAAGAAGCCGGGTGGGTGCTTTTAGAAAGTGACCTGCTTTGCTGGGATAACGAATCGAGATGTTCCTTTCAGAAGCTCAACAGAACTTGGAATGATCCAGAATGGGAGCACAAGAAGGAAGAAATCACGTTCCCCAAGAAATGGCCACCAGAAAAGCTTTCTTTCGAGGCACTGTCTGAGGAGGAAAAAGCTCCAGGCTACAGTTTGGAAAATGAACCTGAGGGAAGAGTTGCCTCGGCAATGCAATTGATGCCGCTCATCAGACTGTGTTGCCAGCTGAGCAGCTGATCTGACAGGAAAGGAGCATTTTGGGATGAGTCGGACTCATTTACAAGCCATGGCTGTGTGCCGAACCGCCTCAATCCAACAGGCACCTCTCCTCAAGGCTTGCACATGAATCACAGTTGAAGCAATTAGTGCAAATACACAAAACCAGCAAACAGGAGGAAACGTGCATCCTTCTGCTTGAGGGAAGGATATGACACAAAACCAACATTAGACCCCGTGTTTCTGAGGCACGTTTCCCATCCTGTGCAGTTGTCATTGCTGTACAGTATGTGGCACGAACTGGAACTCACCACACTGGAAGAGCTGAATTTCATGCACCAGAAATGGAATCTAGTCTTTCAGAAACCACTCTCTCTATGAGCTCAGGCACAGGGAGCAGTCCAGCAGGCAGTTCAATAACGTACCACTGCTATCCTTCGTATTTACATACATAAAAGTATTTCTTTTCCTCAAACCACTCAGTAATGTACACAGACCAATACAAGTCAAGCCTTCCCACTCACTTTTTGGTATATCTCAAAGGGCATTTTCAGAAATACTATCTCACTGACAAGCAGAGGATCATGATGGGAGTGGAGGAACAACATGGAGAATTCTGCCTAAGCAGATGTATTTCATGGAACCAATACACAGAGAGGAAAGAGTGAGTAAACCTCAACTGAAAGAAAAACTTCCAGCACAACCATCTTCTGTTAACCCTTTCCCTCACACTTCTAAAAAGAGATTTAGGGCAACCAAAACCAACCACAAACCAAAAACCCCAATGAAACACAGCGCATGCATTACAGGTTGACCTGGAAAAAGACAGCCAGGGGACAGACCTTTGCAATCAAAGCCCTTCTAAACTAGGAAATAGGTATCTGTACCCAAATGGGGACACACAAAAATGATTTCAGGATTCTTCAGTGTTACCATGTCCTGTGAATTAACTATTTAGAAGGAAAACAAACAGAGCAAAAACAAAACCATACCAACCAATCAAAGCGTATCATATCCGGCCAGGTAAGAGACCTCCCAAGACTCCAATAAACAGCATTTATGGTTTCCTGCCACAGATGCTTAAAATAATCTTACCATGCTTTACCAAATATTTCTTCACAAACCAAGTTCTCCATATTGTTATGCCTAAGATCTCCAATGCCAGTATCATTTTTCATGGACAACATACAAGACTGCCACCGAATCTCAAATTAAAGCAAAAAAACGCCATTAATTTCCCCAAGAAAGCATAAGCAAGTGGAAAAGCAGCTTACAGGGTGCAGCAACCACTTTTCAAACCCCAATGACAGTGCTTCTTAGGTTGATGCTCTTGAAAAATCATTCATAATTACCTTATCAAGGGAAAAAACCCCAAGGCAGGAAGAACTGAGACATAAAGCAGTCACAGTGAAGCTCTTCACCTTCCCTCAATATAAGTTTCTTCCTCCTCCTCCTCCTCCATTAGGTAATTTACAAGTGATGACTAATCATTTACATACTACAATACGTAAAACATACTTCTGGTTGTTTGGGTGGGTTTTCAAAGGGACTTGGGTTTCTATAAAATACTTCAGGGAGAGCATAAATAGCAAAAAGGAACCAGTCAGAAAATAGCCATTGGGAGTGAGATGCTTTGATTGAAAATAGGCCTGCTTCTGGGATATCTGGTTATTCAGTGATGAAAGAACTTGTTACTATTGTCAGTCCCGCACGGACAGCACTGCTATGGAAAAACATACTGGATTGTTCTCTTCCTTGTACATCAACGGAAACGTCAGCGATGATTTGACTGTCAAAACCTTCAGTGCCAACGTTGACGCAAAGGGCTGAACAAATGCTCTTGTGGGTTTGATCCTTAGGTAGAAACCACAAAGCTTGTTGCTAGGTAAAACCCACCTTCTTTATTTGCAAGTGAGCACAATTCCATAGCAGCGTTGGGATCTTGGAAGTGGTCTACAGGAGCTTGAGGCAAAATTGCAGCCCCTAATCTCTTAAAAGAGCTTGAGTATCGCACGCTGAAACGCAACAGAAAATGCAGGTGCTCACCAAGCCATTTGTAGACCCACTTTAGTGGAAATAGAACCTGTTAGTACAGGATTTGCAAGCCCTAGCTGATCAGTGTACTCTGTGGGATGGAAATGGTAGGGTTTTTCTTTGCCTGCTTTATTAAGGGGATTTGCACTTTAGAAGCTGAGGGTACTACCCAGCTTGAGCAGCTACTGCCAGAGCTTAAAAAGGACTAGAAGAAGGCACATATGGTCACATACATTCATACAACACATACCACATGGATACCAAGAAAAGTCAGTGGGAAGGAATACACTTCATTTAATATGAAGGAGTTTTAAAACTATACCCAGAAGAACTGTCAAAAAAGCACAGAACAATGAGCAAAGACATCAGAAAACCCTCCTCAATTAACATCTGATGGCTACCCTGAGAGTATTGCACTTACCACCACAGGCAAGTTAAGCCCCTTCTCTACTATGTATCAGGAAACGTTTTGATGGTCTCAAAGGCATCACATACTGAAGCAGGAATTTTGAGGTCCTCATGCTTCCAGTAAGTTTCAACATGCTCTCTCCAAGAGAGGATGAGCGGGCTTTAAGGCCAAACAGCGCACTCTTAACTGAGAACAGGCACCCTGCAGAGGGAAACCCAAGGGCTTTTCTCTTCAAATAAAGCTGCAAAGCAGAGAGGTAAAATCATCTGAGCCTGAACAGCTCCTGCAACTGAAAACTGCCTGATGTTGGCAGTACCTACATGTCAGGATCCTGTTCATCCCACAGTGATTCTCCCCTCACGTGAATGGCTTGCAGATACAACCCATGAGCTGGGAGCTGAGATGTCAGTCATGATTGCCACCACGTGACATACACCTCATGCAGAGATATAAAGACAGCTTTGACTCATTATTGCTAACCTAACAGATTCCTGGAAACCATTGGAAACGGACTATGGCACTATCTTATCAGTACACACAGGCAATGCGCCCAAACTCTCATGGCTTAAAGCATAAACTTCCTGTTATTTGATTGACTTAAAATATTCCAGTTCCTATCATCAAGCAAACTGAACAGAATCTCAGGTTTCACACTGAAAACAAAAGCTTCAGCTCTCTGTGGTGGCTTCGAAACAAATCTTCAGGATATAAACCCTACTGTTTAAACACCCTCCTCCACCCCAAAAAACATCAACTCAAATCACCATTAAACCCCCCAAGTAAAATAAATCCTGGAGTTTTACTTTGAACACACGACTCCTCCATTGTCAGCCCTAGACTTCAGGACCTACATCATCAGTCAGGCAGTACTGTGTGCTCACTGTTTCCCATATATCCCACAGAAATACATGTATGCATTGCGAAGCTAAGTGTGCTGCTGCATATTAGCATAGCAGGGGAATAATCCATGCCAAAATGCTTTAGTATGGAAAAAAAAAAACCAATTAAAAATAAGATAAAAATTAAGGCTGCGAAATACACAGAATCCCACAAGTTGTTAAGAGACTGAAAACTAAACCTTAAAAAACAAGGGAAAAAAGGTCTCTTTAAAGGAAATGTTTGAAACCACATTTCATTTCCCACTTCCCCTTGACTTCATGTTGCCCATTCTCCATCTTCACTGCAAAAACAAGTACAGTGATTGACTACATTTTCTGCTCCATATGTGCCACAGACCTCTATGGGTAAAGGGTTATGCAGACCTCCTGTCAGCAGATGCAGTTGTTAATCCCAGGATTTAGAGGAACATGAACATTTGTGTGCAAGCAACAGCACAAAGCCCACTGACCCACCTTGAACAGGCCAGCAAACAACCATCAGTGTCAAATTTGATGAGAACAGGGTGGACTGGGATATACTGGAGACTTCAGGTCTTGTACAACAACCAGCTGTCTTTTAAAAAGGGGCGACCGGATGGCACATGGAGCAGCACCCCAGCTGAAACCTCTACCTTGGAATAGCACTGGCTTTCCTCCTAACCTACACATGAAACCCAGGGAAGAGAACAGGTCAACAACTAAAAAAGAAAGAAAAAACCCAGAATCATAGCACTTTTTTTTTGGTGGTTTGCACCTATATTCTTCTTCTCAAAGGGGTCCTCTTGTTCCTAATGGATTAACACCAATATTTTCCACTATAGTCCCCTGTCACAAAACCTCGTGTCAATGTCATCATCCTCAGCCAAAAGGAATGACGATGATGTTCCCTCTAGCTTGTTACATTTCTCCAAAGCTAGAAGCTTTATGCAGG